CTCAAGTCAAGTTCAGGGAGTTGTGGAGGGAGAGCCGGCCCCTGCCCAGCCTCCTGGGCTTCTAGCCAGACTTACCTGCCCCCCAGAATCTACGGCCCCTCCCAGGGAGTGAGTCACGGGGCAGGTTGCGCCTCCTGGTCTCCCTTCCCACAGGGCAGCTCTGCCCTGTCCATCATTCTCTTGGCAGCTCAGCACCCGAGGTTCATTCTGGTGCTAAAAATAGGCTGTGTTTAGACACTCCAGGGCTCCGGCTGGAAACACGAACTACAGTAACCAAATACTGTCATGCCCGCAAAAGGGGCCCTCTCAGCCTCACCCTCGTGACAGCTCACACACTACCCTGGAGGCAGGGTAGGGGGCATCCACCACTTTCAACAGATGGGGAAACTGAGGCTCAGAGGGCGGTCTCATGTAAAACACAGAGATATGAAGCAATGACAGCCAGCTTCTAGCGAGTGTCAACTCCGCCCCCATGGGTTCTCTCCTCAAGTCCTCCCTAAACCCCGGGAGGGAGATACTATGGGCCACCCACTCTGCAGAGAGAAATCGGCAGTTCAGAGAGGTGAAGACACCTTCCCGACTCTCACACCCATAGGTGATGGGAGAGGATGTTAATGTGATTCTGGCTTCCAGCATGTAATGAACAAACAGAAACTGAGAGGTGAAGGGGCTTTCTGGAGGCCAAGCCATGCCCCCTGCCCAGGGTTGGACAGACACAAGCTGTGGAGTACGGGGAACCATCACACCTGCCTTGCAGGTTGCCAGGAGGGAGAAGTTTGTGAGAAGATGTTTGTAAAACCTTTAAACACAGTGTTCAGCCTGTGGTAGGTTTTCAACCAATGGCAGTCAGCTTCATTCCCCAGCTCTGTCTGGACAGACAGAGGCAAAGAGAGATTGAGAGAGACTTGGAGAGAGAGAGAGGGAGAGACAGGAGAGAAAGGATGATGGATGGGCATGGGCATGAGAAAGAAGGTTCCCTGGGGGAAGTGGGACTGTGACTCAGTGGGGGCCCCTGCACCCCAGGACCACACAGAGCTGCCTCCACAGTGCCCTGAATTTACGGCTCCCTTAGGCTGTCACGCGGGGCATTTGGCACATGGCACGGACCCATTGGTGTAGGTTTAAGCCCCAGGGAGAGGTCAGTCCTCTGAGTCTTCTTACTCATTTTCTGCACTAGTGTTTCTTGGGGACCTACTGTGTCCCAGAGGCTGGGGCTGACACTGTGAGAGCAGAGGTCGGGTCCCACTTACATAGGGCTCAGATTCCAGAGTGTTCTCCGTCCAGGTGACCCCCCCCCCCACCTCCTGGCAGTGGCAGGATGGTGTGGGGGACTCAAGTCAGAACCCCCCTTCCCCCCCTCCCCCGCACCCCCCCCCCCCCACCTCCTGGCACTGGCAGGATGGTGTGGGTGACTCAAGTCAGAACCCCCCTTCCCCCGCTCACTCTTCCCACCACTGCTGCCTCAGTCTCTTTCTGTTCCCTGCCAGCTTCTAATGAGCTCATTATCCTCTTAAAACCCTTTTGGCACCCACTTAGAGGAAAGATGTGTTGAAATATAAAAGAATGAGAAGGAAACAACAAAAAAGAACTACACCCAGAAATATCCTCAGAAAGACAAAAAGGCACAGGGAACAGAACAGCTGAAATCTTTGCTGTCTTCATGCCCGCAGCAAATGTGCTGCTGTAGCAAGTGGCTCTGATGGCAGCTCACACGTGCTCACACGAGGGACAGTGGCCGGAGGCTTTTCTTGAGCACCTACTATGTGCCAGGTAGTCTTCCTACAATTTTTAATGCAATCCTGCCGGCAGTATTTGCGGGGCGGGGGTGGTGTCAAGCTTCTTATTGTCCACTCCCCAGGAAAGGACCCTCAGTCAGTGAGAAGAGGTGTCTTGCCCCAATCACATAGGTGGCGGGCGGAAGATGCAGGGTTTGACCCCAGGTCGGTCTGCCTCCAGAGTCCATGCTCTTGCTTGCCTGTCTCTGGAAGGGCTGGTGTCCCCTGCCCATTCCCTTGAAGGCTGCTGGCCTTTTTTCATCCTGTCCCAGCTGCAGAAATCTCTGCCATGTGTGTGATCTACATGAAATACCGTGGGGCACAACCCACTGCCTGGAGGTTTTCTAGCTGATAAGAGACTGGTGAAACTTCAGTTAGAGCACAGTCCAGACTTCTGAGCTTGGCATTCAAGGCTCCCCACGGTCTGACCCCACCCAGTGCTTCCCTGCATTCTCACCATGCCCTAAGCTCCTTGGCTGCCTCCACCCCAGTGCCCTGCGGGCGGCGTGTGCTGTTCCTCCTCCCTAAGGTGTCCTTCTGCTGTTCCTTCACACAGAAAGCTGACTCCCCTTGCAAGACCTGCCAGCTTAAAGACCCCTCCTGGGAGAAGCCCTTCAGGGCAGCTACAGTCCCTCACTTCTCTGGGCTCCTGCATTCCAGGGCTTCTTACCCCGGGGTCCAGAAACCCCTTGACATTGTAAGCCAAAATCTAGGAGCTTATGTGCAAGGGCTCTTTTCTGGGCATATGTCTGTAGTTTTCGCCATATTCTCAAAGGGATATAAGTCCGGAATAGGCGTGTGGTTAGGAATACAAGCTGTGAAATCAGATGGGCCTCGGTTCACAATCCAGCTGCAACTTCACAGCTGTGTGGCCCTGGACAAGTTGCTTAATAATTCTGAGCCTCATTCCTCGCCTCTGTAAAGTAGATACAGATCTCCCTCATTGAATTGTTATGAGGATTAAATCAGAGTATGTAAGCATTTAGAGCAGTATCTGGCACATAATAAGTGCTTGGTAAACATTAGCTATTAATGTTAATTGCTGCTCTATATCATATATACATCTACTATGGGATTTATCATTGTCTGTGTAGTATAGTGATTTAGTGTAGTGATTGTTTAAATTGCTGGCTCCCTCAGTAGACTCTGAATTCTCTGAAAGCAGCAACTCTGAATTATTTATTTCTGCATTCCAAGCACACATACAGTAGGCAAGCAACACATGTTGTTAAATGAATGGAAGAATGGGTGGATGAATGGATGGGTGGAGAGTTGGATGGATGAGTGGGCTGCTACAGTTCAGACGAATGGATAGACGGATGGATGGGTGGATGGATTAATGAATAGATTAATGATGAATGGATGGAGGGGTAGGTGAATTGATGGATAGATTAAAAGAATGGATGATGGATGGCTGAATAGATTGTGACTTGACAGATGGGTAGGAGGACTGCTGGACAGATTAAAGGATGATGGATGGATGGATGGAGGGATGGATGGATGGATGAACAGATAGTTTGACCACGCGAGAGCATGGATTTGGGGCTGTTTCGTTCATTTAATTATTCCAAGTGCCTGCAACAGTAGCTGGTGCATGTAGGTGCTCAGTACTTAGTTCCTGAATTAATAGGATGGCATATGGAGGGACACTGGACTCTACCTTGAACCACAGTTAAACTCCCATGCTGCTGTCTGGATTGGTAGGGGCTGTTACCATTCAAATCACCCTTTGGCTGACAGCTGAATTCTTTGCACTGGCCAAGATTGTCATGAGGCCCCCTGCTGGTGGTAAAATGAAACAACATAGGCCAAGTGGAGTCTTCTGTTTTCTAATTTAGATTCTGTTTTCCTCCTGGCTGATGATTCTGAATGTTGACTCATAAAGCCGTGGTTCTCAAACCTTTGTGCTCATTACCATCACCTGAGGGCACCTGGTTACACCTGTAGGTGTCTCTTCAACCAGAGATTCTGGTTGGAGAGGTCAGGAAACTTCACGTTTAACCAGGCTGCCAAGTGTTTCTGAATCAGATGCTCCTCAGACCACACTCTGAGCGACCCTCAAAGGATGAGCCTCTGCTGGTCATTGGGAGGCAGTGGAGATGGGCTGCTGCTTCAGGGGCTGTCTCTGGATTCCCAAGTGATGCCCAGACCATCACTTGGAGAAAGAGTGTCAAAAAGGCAGGGGTTCAGAGCTGCGGTTTTGTGTTTGGACCATCCTGGGTTCAAAATCCCACCTCCACCATCACCAGCTGTGTGTCCTCAGTTTCCTCATCTGTAAAAAGGGAAATAGTTACTTCCCACAGGAACATGGGGAAGAATCATTAATACACATAGAAGGCTTGGCACAAAGCAGGGCGTACCAGAGACACTCAATAAATACTGAGTGAATGCGTATGTTGCTAAATAATTCTGCTTTCCTTCCTTCTTTTCTTCCTTGGATAGAAGAGGGGGGCTATGGATTTGATCTCTCCCATTACAATGTGAGCCCTGTGAGGGATGGGACTGTGTCTCTCTGGTTTACAGCTTTATTTCCAGCACCTAGGACAGTGCCTGCTACACAGTAGGTGCTTGCTAAACATTTGTTGGGGAAAAAAATGAATGAATTTGATCTGGTTCAGTACCAGCCAGGTCCAGCAGACAGTTCAGCAAGGACCTAGGAAGCACTTTTTGGCCTTGAAGTAACCCACGAATCAGTGTATATTTGACAAATATGCAGACGTGTGGGGCATAAGAGCCTGTGCTTGTCCAAGATAAAGCTTTTGCCCTCAAAACAGGACCCAGTAGGATTCGCTTCTACCCAGCACTGCTGGGTGCTTTGAGCCGCTGGTTTCCTCCCCTCTCTGGCTCTGCATCCCCCCTTGAGAATGTTCAAGAACGCTTCGAGTTCTGGCCTCTATGAGGAGATTTCTTATGCCTGTACCTGTGCTGTTTTGCAGGTGACAGCCCTGAGCCCGAATGCTTAACCGGATGAAAGCCCGCTGGCTTCTGTTTCTGCCAGGTGGACACACTGAGCTTGGTCCCCAGCTGGGGAAGAGGCCAGACACGGCCCTCAGTGAAATAGTCCAGCCCCTACAGGCCTGAGCAACTGAGGAAGGGCAAGAAGCGAACTCCAGCTGCTGGTGAAGCCTCACAAAATCCTCCTCTGATTGCTATTTTCAAAGTTCTTTGGGAACTCTGAGGCAAAGAACAAGATGTAGGAAAATGGGACCAACTCCTGCGTGTCCCGAGCCTCAGAACCCCTTTCATGGCCCAAAGAAGCTCACCTTGGCTCCGGGAGGGCTGGTGAACTCTGTCCTCTATTCTCTTGGCTTCAGCCAGGCATTGAACTTGCCCTCCCGCTCTGATCTTGGCAGTCACCTTCGCAGATGGATTAAGACTGAAGACCCCCAGGGGCTCCATCCCTAAGGGAAGCTTGAGAAGCAGAGCCCTGCCTCCATTCCCTCCCTGGATCACACCCCCCCAGCCCCCAGCGGAGCCGAAACGATCCAGTCCGGAATGATCCCGCTATGGCCAAGCTCTGGTTCAAATTCCAGCGGTACTTCCGCAGGAAACCTGTACGTTTCTTTACCTTCCTGGTGCTCTACCTGACAGCTGGGAGCCTCGTCTTCCTTCACTCTGGTTTTGTGGGTCAGCCTGCTGTCTCCCAGAACCAGGCCAATCCTGCTGCGGGGGCCCCAGCGGAGGGCGCTGAGCTGCCCTTTTTGGGTGACTTAAATCTGGGCAGAGCCTTCCGGGATACAGGTGAAACCTCGAGCATCGCCCGCAGGTATGGACCCTGGTTCAAGGGCAAGGACGGGAATGAGAGAACCAAGCTGGGGGACTACGGGGGAGCCTGGAGCCGGGCCCTCAAGGGGAGGGTCATTCGGGAGAAGGAGGAAGAGCGAGGTAAGAGGGGTGAGCATCTGGGCTTGGAAGTTGGCTGAGGAGGAGGGAAGGGGGATGATGATGATGATAACGTAATAACAGCTGCCAGTGTTCAGTGTTTAATAGGAACCAGTCATCATACATGCAAGAGGTTTCACAGAGGAGAAAATTGAAGCTCAGAGACATTAAGTAACTTGCCCAAGGTCACACAGCTTGTAAACGGCCAAGCTTAGATTTGAACCCTGAATCTGTCAGAGTCCAAAGTCTGACCCTCCCCTGCAGGCTTTTTTTAGCCCTTGTTACATACACTTGAAAATCAAAACACCTAGCATCTACTGAGCACTTACTAAGGGCCAAGTACTTTTCTAAGCACTTGACATGCATTGAATTATCACCACAACTCTATGCGATAGGTGCTATTATTCCCATTTTAAAGGTGAGGAAACTGAGGCACTGAGAGCCCAAGTTTACATAGCTAGCTAGTGACAGAGCTTCTGCTCCACTGCATTGCCTCTCAGTTCACTTTGCTGGATCCCTCGGTGATGGCACTTGGGGAACCTCATCGCCCTGGGCATATTTCTTTGCATTTTCTTAGCCTGTCACAGTCCAAAAGGGCTTTTCTTGGGCTTCCCTGGTGGCGCAGTGGTTGAGAGTCCGCCTGCCGATGCAGGGGACATGGGTTCGTGCCCCGGTCCGGGAAGATCCCACAAGCCGCGGAGCGCCTGGGCCCGTGAGCCATGGCCGCTGAGCCTGCGCATCCGGAGCCTGTGCTCCGCAACGGGAGAGGCCACAACAGTGAGAGGCCCGCGTACCGCAAAAAAAAGAAAAAAAAGGGCTTTTTTTCGTAAGTGCATTACCTCATTTGATTTTCACTACACTCCACGGACTTAAACAAGGAATATGAACTTATGCCCAGTTAACAGATGTGGAAACAGGCTTGAAGAAGTGAAGACTCTTCTCCAGGGCCACATAACTGGTAAGTGGTAAGTTCAAATCAGACCCATCTGGCCTGGATGCTGGCTCTATGACTACCTCCCAGAGTCAGCCGACGTCTCCCCATCTAACCCGCGTTCTGGAGAGGACCCCACAACCCCTGCAGTTCATGAGATTAACACGAATGGATGTTTCCAGAATCTGGGACAGATGGTTTGGGAGGATCTACGACCAATCAGGACAGAAGGAAAACCTCCCTAGCCCTTGTGTTCCCTGCCACGTGTCATGCTTCTGCTGTGATTCAACCTATGAAAAACCCCTTCTCCCACTGTGGAAGGAAGCAGGACTAATGGAGGGGACTCATCCTGGGGAGCACATTTCCCTGCTTCAGTCCCACCCTGCACCTGGCTCAGGAGCATCCAGAAGACCGTACCGTCTCACCCTCAGGAATTTCCTAGAATTCTGCCTCTTCGAAAACTTCACAGGGAGGTGAAGGTGATTGTGGGGGGTGGCAGAATGGATTGGAGGACTTGGATTCATAGTCCAGGTCCACTCCAACTAGCCGTGCGGTCCAGGCAAGTGGCTTTACCTTCTCATGCCTTAGTCTTGTCATCTGTAAAATGGGAATAATGACCCCCTCCCCGCCAGGTTTCTCCTGAGAGTTCAATGAGACATGGTTATGGAAACACTTAGCATAATGCCTGCACACAGTAAATTCTTAGGGGTGATCAGGAAATTCTTATGAATCTACCTGGGTAAGGGATCCCATCTTGTAGGCACAGTTGTGGTGTGAGGTGCTACACTGATGGAGAAATCATGATGTGGCTTCCCTCTCTACCTTCTCCAATCAGTAAGCTTCGTCTCACCCCAGCCACACCAAACTCCTTCTGCTACTTTGCAAACCCCAGAGTTTGCCACAAGCCTGCACCTTAGGATATGCTCCCATCATACTTAGGATAAATTCCAGAGTCCCCACCATGGCCCACCAATCCAGCCTCATGTTATAACATTTCCTACCCCTCCTCACCACACACTCCTCCCCTTGCTGGGGGACACTTGTCCTTCTTGCTGGTCATTGAACGCACCAAGTCTTATCCTACCTCGGAATCTTTGTATAGATATTCCTGTCCATCTGGAATGTCCTTCCCCATATCTTTGCATGGCTCCCTTCCTCCTGGACCTCAGTCAAACCTGGCCACCCTGTAGAGGTCTTCCTGGACTGTCCTAAAGTAGCCCCACTTTGTGCCTGGTCAGGACCAGATTCCCCAGCTCTATTTTTTGTCACAGTACTTACCACTATCTGAAAGTATCTTGTTTTTACTTGCTTTCTTGTTTATTTATAGTCTGTCTCTACTACTAGACCGTCAGCTCCAAGAAAGCAGGGATAGTGCCTGTCCTGTCACCTCATTCTATCAGCACCTGGGACAGCACCAGGAACAAAGATGGCGCTCAGTACCTACTGGTTGAATGGATGAGTGATTGGATGGACAAATGAATGAATGACCAGCCCTCTGCCTGGAGTGTCTCCACAGGCTTAGCTCTACTCTTCCTCCAGGTCTCAGCTTAGCTCACCTCCAGGAAATTGTCCCTGACTCCACCTCCAGGCTCGATCAAATGTTCCTCTTCTCTACTCCCTGTCATGGCCTTTATGTGAATGGTAATTGCCTGTGTTTATAGAGGTCCTTTGGTAGAATATGATTCCCTATTGGCACAGTTGATTTATCCAACGACAGTAACAACATTCCCCCCATTTGTTATGAGAATGAAATACCACTGCCACTATTACGAGTAATTATTACCATTTCTTGAGCACCTGCTTCATGCCAGTCACTGTCCCATTTGCTTTTCATGTGTTATTTGCATGGAATGATATATGTAAAATGCTTATATTACACCTCCTGGTTTATAATAATAGGTCACTTAATAGTTTCTGCTGTTAGAAGTAATAGCTAAACATCTATCGAACGGTCATTATTGGCTAGACCGTGTTATAAGTGCTTCATTGCCTTATGTAATTATCACAACAACTCAAAAAGTTAGAGACTATTATCCTATTTTACAAATGGGAAAATTTAAAACTCAGGGAGAGGTCACTTACCCCAGGTTACACAGGTAGTGAGTGGAAGAACTGAGGTTTGAAACAAGGTCCATTTAACTCCAAAGCTTGTGAGCCTTCTCTACCAGGCTATCCCCGCTGCCTCTGGAAATCTTATGTATTTTATAAAATATAAAGAGAGAAGGAAGAGAAAATAAGAAAGAAGCCTGGACCCCAGAGCTCTCATCAGGCAGCTTTAGAATCAGGTGGTCTTAGTAAGAAAACACAAATTCAGACTGTCCTTGATTAACTTATTCAGAGTTCAGCAAGGAAATACAACATATTAGATTAACGCTAATAAAAATGAGACGCTTCTTTGGCCTGATGCTACACCCATTTGGCTTTTCTCTGAAGCTGGCAAGGGCTCTGCTTGATGCAGTGATGCAAGACTTAAGTTGTAAAGGATTCAGAGCCCATCACAGCGCAGTTGGTGAGGGTGGAGCTGCTCCCAGGCTGGGCTGGGGCTGGGCAGGAAGTCTGACTTCCTGGGTGGAGCTGGCACCTACAATGTGCCAGTCACCTTGCTAGGCTTGTGAAATCCTGTGCTCTGAGAAGTCAAATGCGGGTTCAAATCCCAGTTCTGCAGCTTGCTGGCTGTGCACCTTTGGGCAGGTCACTTCACCTCTCTGAGCCTCAGTTTCCTTTGGGAGATAAAAAGTACTTAACATCAGATGACTGATGTGATGATTATATAAGATAAATCAATAGCATGCTCTCTGAATGCCAGGCACTGTTTTAAACCCTTTGCATCTATTACTTCATGTAATCTTCGTAGTAACTCAATTAAGTAGACACTGTTATTAACTCCCCCATACAGGGAAGAAACTAAGGCACAGAGAGGCTAGGTAACCTGCCCAAGGTTATCCAGCTGGAGGAGGGGGTAAACCAATATTTGAACCCAGGTGGTTTGAATCTTACACCTGAACCTTAACCACTACATCGTCTCACTTCTCAACACATAAGCACAGAGTGTGGCACACAGTAAGCAGTTAGTATGTGCTGGCTCTTATTATTAATATTGTAATTCTGTAGGAGAAAACAGAGATGATTTGACTTACGTTAGGTGACCCAGTTTTTGGGACCAGAGCCAGGAGTCAAATCCAGTTTGATTTCAAAGTCTGTGCTGTTTCTGTTTCCCCCAGATTACAGAGCGGGTGGGCTGGGTGTAAAGAAGGACACGGGGATATTTAGTCAGCATTTTTGGAAGGGACAGCAGGGCACCCACTCCCCATCTCCTCCAGCTGAAGATGCAATCTCTGCAGATTATGGAGGGTCTGCTCTGTGTCGGAGACTGTGTGCTCATACTCAGCCTCACATCAGGTAGGAAGTATTAAACTCTTTTCATACATTAAGAAACAGAGGCTCAGAGTAAATGACTTGCCCCCCATGTCACACAGCTGCTAAGAGGCGGAGCAGACTCCAACCCGATTCTGTCTGAATCCAAAGCTCTTATTCTTAACCACTGAGCTATAGAATCCCCAACTGCAATCATTCATTCATTCATTCATTCATTCCATATTTACTGCACGTCTGTATGCCCCGCCCTGTGCTGGGAGGTGGAGACACAAGAATGTTTCAAGCAGTTTTTTTTTTCCTCTGAGGAATATTCACACCCTCCTAGGGGAAGACAGGCAAGTAAAAGGTAAATTATGTTTTCAAAAATAACTTTTTTCTTGATTATCAAAGTAGAAAAATTAGAATACATAGCAAAAAAGAGATGAAAATAAAAATAGCCCAGAGTCCCACCATCCAGCAACAGTCCCAGTCAACACTGTTGGTGTATCACCTTTACCTTCCTGTCTTTTTCCTTTATGTGTGTATTTCTAAAGAACAGAATGGTGTATATATAGCATCATATCCTGCTTTCCCCTACTATAGCACTTTTTCATTTTATTAAAAATTCTTCCCCAATGGGCCTAAATTATTTCTAATTTGAAAAAGTAATGGACAATACTTGGAAAATTGTTTCAGAAAAGTGTTAAGGTGGGGTAAG